GTCTGTCTGTCTGTCTGTCTGTCTGTCTGTCTGTCTGTCTGTCTGTCTGTCTGTCCCCCCCCTCTCTCTCTATTTCCATTTTGTCCTCGACCTCTTTCTCGTGAAATGCAAAACTAAGTCAATGAGCAACTGCCATAATCCTTATTTTAAAAAAGTATCTAAATTCATTTTGGAACAAGGAAAACAGCTGTAGAAAAATTTTCTTTACCGATTCCGAGAACAACGGTTAATTTGAACAGGGAGACACTGGAAGGTGTACCACAACTGGTTTGATATGTCTTGTCATTGAAGCTGCACCATTCGAACTCTAAATTTGCTTCCCGTTAATTCGTCGAAATAACCTCAAGTCAGCGCCCGTGAAACTGGCTCCTTTTGTGGTGCGTGCCATTTTAATCTCCGTGTTTTCCTGACGAATACACGCAATTATAATGTTTCACTCATTTACGGGTCTGAGCAATGAAGAACAGCTTCACGTGTTTTTGTAACCAAAATAAATTCCACAAACGTTGGCGCCACTCTCAGAAACCTCTCTTCCGCTAGGAAGCAAACTCCCAGTTCATCACTACGCTTTTTCATACTCACAGAAAAGACAAACCCATTAAAAGGAAAGTCATCGCCTAAAAGAAAACTTTGGCCAGCCTTGTAGTAATTTATGACAGTGGTCATCAGGTCTCCACACCACTGGAGGCCAGAGTACACCACTGGCACTCTCAGAATGACCAGGGCGAAGGCGTATTGTATGAACAGGCCTGAAACGACAGGACGCCATGCCACCTGACGGAGAAAAAAATACGTGTATTCAGGATATCATGAAACATTGTGGTGTAGGTGATGGGAGTGTAATCCAGTTTTATACCTCCTTCACTGGAATATAGGTCATCTAAAAGGCGAGATATTCAACAAATTAGGCCAACTTCAATTCAATCAGATATATATGGTAATATGCCTCGGAGGCGAAATATAATGCGGATATGAAAGTGCCGTAAGTCAGATTTTTAGTTTTACTGCACTTGGAACACATTAGGTCATATACGTGTCCAGGATTAGAGTAACAAGAGAACTGCAAAACATTTTTATTGAAGAAATATGGCAGCAATGGACGACAGTAAATAGTGATAGAAGAAACAAAGCACACCAGAGCGCCCACCAACTGCCCGCTCAACGACAACACAATCTTCATGAGGTAGGCAACTGTGAATGCTCGTTTGGGTAATGAATAATGAGTATAAATAATTAACATTATCTTAAGTTATCCCAATACACGGGACCCATGCTGATATGAGAAACAAGGCAGGCCACGTTAGGGAATATACTTAACCAATTGAGTCAAAGCAAAATAAGCCGGAAAGATTAGTTGGCGCTTTGTGAAGACAGAGAATGAGAATGTGGTGGAAAGAAAAGTACGGCAGTGTTGGTGTGGCTTAAAAACATTTCATTGACTCAAGATTTCGCACAAAACCCGCTCTGGGTGTGAGTTAGTAACTCAGGACTTGTTTCTTTGATTTTTTCATGAGGTGAAACAAAATTGGTCAATAAATCAACAAATATTACCGAAACAAAGTTAACATAAGCCGTTGCATCAACTTGTATTATAACAAAATATAATTATAGTGTTTAGTGCGCTTTTTTCTATGGAAATGCAACAAAACAGTATATCATAAAGACTAAGAAGTGCCGCAAAAAGGAATGCACTTGCAGCTGTATACCAATCTAAGTGATTGCTAGGCAACATAAAATGCCACTGTCATAACACCTTTTGACGTGTACCCTTGGAAGGTACATATTGATTTAAAAGCAAGCAAACGAGATAGCATACCCTTGCACAAACAAAACTTTCTGGTCATGTGATTGCATACCCATCCACTGATTTAAAAAAAAACAACCAATAGTAAAAAAAAGTACACCAACAAGACACCCGCACTTCGGACAGAAGTTCCATATTACGCACAATGAGATACATGATTTTGTACATTCAAATACACATTCACGCTCACGTACGGTAATATTTAAAATGCAAACATTCTGAAGCACTGGGATATACGCAATCACGCACACCACAGACCACCATCTGTTTATCACGGGCATAAATAAAATGACCCTGCATAATAAAGGTCTTAATATGGAACGATTAAGTTGCCATGTGTGTACAACTAGATGGACGGAAACGCGCTTTCGTTATTCTATTCCGATTCTAACCGACACAGATTACGTCAGTTAAAAGCCGTCCTTAATTTCTATCTTCCCTTTCCCCCCTCTTAAGGGAAGACATGCATGCTTTTAAAAAAAATCCGTTATGCACAGATTTTGCAATCATTTAAGGGCATTTTATATGACTTTGGGGGCCATGTACGTTATTCAGGTAGTCAGGTGTGCTTTAGTTCTGCGCTCCGGGCAAATGTTTACACTTTAAGGTATCACGACCCACTATAAAGCGTTCTGGCGTAATTTTCTTATCTTGGAAGCAACAGAGTTAATAATTTCACAAAGTAAACTCAGTATAGGTAGTTGCATCTCGTTAGAGGATTTTTAAAGCATCGTTTATAATAAGCGAGATGTCCCGGATTTTAACATATAACTTGCTAAAACACCGAAATTATCCTTAAAATCACCCCCTCTGAGCCATATAGAACGTTGTAGTTTGAAAAATATTCCGTAAATTTAAAAAAAATCCTGTAACAGATTGCAACTTCGCCAATTTCCCACACTGAGGCCAATTTTCAAGGGAATCCTATAAACAGCCTCCGAAATCTCGCTGCATTAAAACCCCATACCCTAAAAATATCGCGTTTTAGAGGAAACGCAACCCCCCCCCTCCCCCCCCCCCCCAAAAAAAAAAAAAAAGCAACAACAACAAAACAAACCGCAAAAACAAAAAATGCTTTCGCATTGTTTTTCCTTTTTTTGAAACCACAGACAGATCTATACAAAGTTCGTCTTTTTTTAGTATCTACCACAGCACTATACCGATCACCCAGTTTGGAATAGACCTATGTAAAAAGAAATAAGAATGCAGTTTGGAATGATGAGATAGTACCATTTATTTCAAGAGAATAACACACGGGAAGGGGAAAAAGTCACCCCACAGCTTGAAACAGCGATAAGAGAAATACTTCTAAACACTGAAGTACATTTATTGTCAACAGGTGGAATTTTCAAGATGAAATTTGTGTGGGTTGTGATGTGTATTTTTTTCTTTCTAAAGTATAATTATTTCACCTTGAACTTCCGTCCAAAAGTAACCGGCTTCGATTCTAGACAGTGGAAGCACTGGAACCAAACAGGAAGCCCCACTTCTGTTAGCTGAAGTAGATGAGTGGTAACATACACGATAGTGCTGACAGTTTAAATTTAAAATCCGATCCAGGTCCAATCACTTATGCATAATTGTATTGATTAGCAAAGCATTTTGCATTGCAAGCTGAAGACGCGAGTTCGATTCTGTATCAGAACGATGATTTCATTGAGTATCTCCGCACTTGCTTAAACTTTTGGGACGAAAGAGCGTCATAAAGTCTCGACAGCGTTGATAAAAGTAGGATGTCTTGCAGGAGTGGGACTGTCAGACAAATATGGTCAATCTTATTTTTTGGCAATAGCTAGCTAGCTTTTTTGTAAACTGTTTGTTTGTATGTTGCATTTTGGACGTTTACTCATTGTTGAGCATGTTTGTTTGATAAAGAAAGCTTTCTCCCCCCCCCACAAACACACACTGCACATGCACACAATATGACACATCATGAATTGTGTCACAATCTAGGCTTTCTCAGAATCTGAGAATCTTTCTGAGAAAGCCTAGGTCACAATCAACTTAGTCTACCGTAGGTCATGTAAGTCCAGTTTACCATAAATGTTATCTGTTGCCTTGCTTCATTTACTTTTACCTGCCCTCTTGTTGATTTGTTTTAGTTGGGATTTTCTTAATGATTAGATCACTGTTATAGCTGAACATGTCTGTCCGAATGCTTGCTATAAATAACTATTTACTATAGATTATAAAAGGTCGGATTTATGGATTCCCTGCTATGGCCGGAATCCCATTATAACTTTTGACTGTTATAAATGGAGGCCACTTTACCTAGTCTTTATTAAATACGGCCTTGTCACAGTACAATTTAAATATATTGAGCTGAAACGAGTATATACATGTGTACATATATATATATATACATATTATAATACATATATATATATATATATATATATATATACTTAAAATTTTTAACTTCACGCGTATTAAGAGCGTGTAGCTCAAAAGTGCACATCCAATTTCTTTGAAATTTTCGCATGTGCCACGCAAGCTCATTGTCGTTCGTACTGTACTCACTAGGGCGCACTGGTCTATCGTTTTGTCTTACGATGTCATTCACTGGGTATTGATATTATTTTGTCAAATAATGTGAAAATGTGTGGGTAGCTTGAAAGCAAAAACTACCGACACAAAGTTGGACCAAATGAAAAGTGGCTTCTCATTATCGATTCACCATGGGTTATTTTTTTTTTATAGTAGAGGATTTTACGGCGCTCGCAACTGCATAAGGTCATATGAGCGCCAAGGTGTGGGTGTCAACAGAGAAATCCTTACAGGGAATCAGACTTACTCTGCTCACCTCTCTAGCTTCAACAGCACAAGGTCTGCTTCGACCATCTAGGCACCCCGGAAATAGTTGTGATACAAAAGAAGTAGAGGAAAATGACAATAGTAAGGATTCGGAAAGAAAAAGCAACAGTTCCCTGTTGCAGCTCAGGCACAGTTATGAGCGTAACAGGATGAATCAGCCCATTTACAATTCTACTGTGCTTGAACGAGAAATGTCCCCCCTTTGGGAATGGTATAAAGACACTACAGTCAGTGGCACTGCCCCGGGGTGTTTCACCATGTTTCGTCTGATTGAATCAGAAAGAAATCACATAATTGAAATGTTTCAGGTGGTCACTCCGCTTTCGTTAGTCGCGAGAAGGTTCACCGTGAACAAACACACTGTGTATGCCACATGGGACCATATTATGGCAACGATAGGCTCCCAAAAGCACAGACCCGAGCGAGTAGGACGCAGAAAGACAAAACGGAGGGTGGACTCATTCATCCTAACGCAACGCTTGAGAAATCAATTTCACCCGGCAAACAAAGGTCCAGAATGAGTCGAAAAGACTTAGAATGGCAGTCGGATCTTCGTCATGACTGTTCTTCTTCGTTTAAAAGATAGGAACCTTCGTGCTAGGGACCTAGTTTATCGCATAAAACTGCAGCCCAATCACAACAAGCACAGCCTTCACTAGGCACAATGTCATGTGTGATGGCTAAGGCTAAATCAGTCAAGTTCTCAAGCCCACTGTACTTTTCTTTGAAAATCAAGCCCAAGGACAAGTATTCATTCATGCATGATAATGCATCTGCATATAAGGATACTGTGACAAATCAATTTCTCAAAACTAACAACATTCCTCTCCTGCACCCATGACCAGCGCATCCACCAAATTTCAATCCAATTGAGCACTTGCGGGACATTTTAGATCGCGCCATTAATTGTGCCAGACCACACCAGCCCCGCACCCTTGCTCAGTTAGAACAAGTCTTTAGTTCAAGAGTGGATATTATTCCTCAATAGACAATACGTCGATTCACCCCATCCATGCGTCGACGATGTGAAGATATGACAACGCCAAAAGTCATCACAAGTCACTGAAAGCTGTCACTTTTCATTTAGACCCCTGACAACTATAAGTTCAAAGTTCAAGATTTAGAACATTATTAACTTTGCCTTGCTGTAAAATTAATGCACTGTCTTACCTGAAAGTTTCAGAGAGATTCGATAAAAGTATTAATCAAGATATCGCCTTTAGTATGAGGTGTGAAATTATAAATGTTAAGGAGTATATATATAATATATTATATATCCGCCAATCTCTTTAAAAAACACCCCCAACAAAAAACAAAAACAGAACAAGGCTCACTTTGTGGGGATGTGTGGATGTCAGATAAAAGGCGAAAGTGATCCAAGCCAGACCTGACAGCGACCACAAGTTAGAAGGTCGAGAGAGAATCACTTCCGTGCTCAGAGTGACTAGGAAAAAAACGCCGCAGCTAACAGCCAGTGTCCTAGGAAGAAATACAACACACTTTTAAAAAGATTCAAAGGAAAGAATCGTAAAGACACCAGGGTCATTTTATCATTTGACGTATTATACTTTTTAAAGTATGTATACATTGTTTTACATTTATTAATCATTTGTGTAAAGCATTGGGTGAGAGTCTATGCCAGGAGCAACGAATGATAACACCATTTTTCCATCTGTAATCAGAAAGTTAATTCAAGACACCGTAGTATGTTGTACCACACATCCTTAAAGACATTACGAGAACACAATTGAAATAAACTTAGGTTTTGGCTTACCTTGAGGCTATAGTTTTCGCTTTATGATGACCTTGCGCCCACTTACAAAGTCTGGCCACGAGTTTTGTAGACGATATACTGCTGCACAGGAGGTACAGGCCAATCACACTAGTGATGAAATACAGACCTACAATCCGAGAATCGTTCCTGTGAAGGTATATGGCATAAGAAAAATATGCCACATACAGAAGGGCACATAATATGACCACCAACTTTTTTATACATCGGCTGCGAACATAGTAGGTGTTTCGTACACGAATTCTATACGAGAGAAGACAATTTCCATTTCCTTCAGCATCTGAAGACTCCGATTCACTATCATTGTCCGTACAAATTTCCTTTTTCGCAGAGTCCTCAGTAATTATCAAACTAGTTTCAATATTGCTGGGGATGATGGTAGTCTTACTTTCCAGGAAAGAGCTCTGTTCCGTCGTGCGAATATCTTTTAGGTCGCTCACTTCTTGCGACATGTTGGCCATTATATAACCCCCCTTCACGTCGAATGTCAGTGTCTTTCTGTTCAACTCTTCATCTCAACAACCACCGGAACGTGTGTGACCCCGCGTCCACTTGGCAGTGGTACAGCTGTGACATCGGCGCCACCGGGCACGGGCACACAATCACTGCCCTTACCTGGGTGTGTCGGATGGTTCTAAATTGTTACATCCATGTGGAATTTTGAAAACTGTTGCGCCCCTTGCCTCTATTGCTACTTAACACGGCTCTTTATACGTTTTTTAAACAGCTTGAATAAATATAAATGTCATAGGGTTTGGCATTATGTTTTAAGCAACGGACACGGCTCTAGCTTGTTATGAATTATTCATTAAGTAGCCACTAGATAACATTTCACCACTGTATTTCACAGAAGCTCTTAATTATGTACTCTGATAATCTCAGTAGGTATATCCGGCACATTCATACTTTTAGCTCACATAATTACCACCTCTTTCAAGATCCGTTATTGTTGAAAAACATGCACTGGGGTCTGCTTCAGCATGTCTACTGTAGTGTTGAAGACTCTCAGCCCCCAAAAGGCATATTTATATATACAAGGAAGAGGAGAAATTACAATGTTACTACTTTGACCCCGTTTTAGCTCGTGTTACTAATGAGATACAGAGATGTTCTCTATGGTGTTCCAAGGCACTCGGAACGAATTTGGACTGAGCTTTGGTCTTGTAACTGAAACAGAAGTAAATGATTACCAATGTTGTCTTAAGTTGATCAGCAGTAGGTCAAATAGCCATTAATTTTGGAATAGCATGAAGTACCACACGCCACTGATGCAAAGTATATACTCCATTGACGTAAAGTATACACCCCGCTGATGTAAAGTATACATTCCACTGATGTAAAGCATACCCTCCACTGATGTATAGTATACACTCCACTGATGTAAAGTATACACTCCACTGATGTAAAGTGTAAAGTATACACTCCACTGATGTAAAGTATACACTCCAGTGATGTAAAGTATACCCTCCACTGATATAAAGTTTACCCTTTGTTGGCGTTGAGTATGCACCCACTGATGTAAAGTATACACTTCACCGATGTAATGTATACCCTTTGTTGACTCAAGGTGTACATTCCGCTGACATAAAGTATACATTCAACTGATATAAAGTATACACTTCAGTGACGAAAAGTATACATTTTGTTAACATAAAATAAACTTTCTGCTGAAGTAAAGCTGTGCTCTCATGCCCATACACCACGTAGATCTAAATTCAGAAAATTTCTCACGTTTTGGACACTTTTGGATCCAGCTATCGTCATGTCACATCTAAATGGGCCAACAATTGCAAGGTGACATTGATACCTTTCACATTTAAGTTTTGATTGAGCAATTTATAATAATGCATAATTAAATGTACACGCCATGTTGTTGTTTTTTCGTTTAATATTTTTCCTTTTCTTTTTTTTTGCGTTTTTGTTTTAACATATCATACCCCCCACCCCCTTGCCATCTTTTCTGTCCCTTTGATCCTTTTCTATGGCAACATTCTTCTTTGTTGTATGTCCGTTTTGTTTTGCGCATATTGCATTCACTCTTCCAACCATCCATTCACTTACTCGTCCTTTCTTTCATTCTCTGATAAAAGTGTAAGAAACATTTTGTTCACCAAGTAGAATTAGAAACCGGCGCTATGATGCAGATGTTCAGTGCCAGGGGAACACCTAATTGTGGTGTGTAGTGTGGTTAGGCCTAGGTAGCAAAATTGTCAGCCTACTGCTGCTTTCATCACAGAGGAGGGAAAACTTGTTTTATGAGGTGCTATGGCAAGTACACTTTGTTTAATTTTCGTTCAGGCCGTTAAGGTAAGGCTCGCCTGTGTACAAGGTCACCAAATTGCTATTTTGAAGAATGCATAAAGAAACGCGTACAGAATCTTATTGTTGTTGTTGTTGTTGTTGTTGGTGTTGTTGTTGTTGTTGTTGTCGTTGTTCTCTTCTTCTTCTTCTTCTTCTTCTTCTTCTTTTATCAATATCATAATCCGCCCAAAATGTCCCAGGGGGATCAATAAAGTATATATCTTATCTTATCTTATTGGTGTCCGTGGTGTAATGGTAAGGCTCTTCTCTCTGCTCACAGAAGGCTTTGGTTCGATTCCCTCGAAAGCTTGAATCGAGTAAAGTATCTCCGTCTGTCTGCTGAAAAAATCCCAATAACCCCTTGTTGACCCTGGCCTGCAGGATCAAGGCAGCTCGCCTTCTAAATGATTTTACAGTGCGGTCAAACATTCGCAGCGCTACTTATCCTCAAATAACATCTTTTTAACGGGTGAAACAGTCAGTGTTCCCCATACTCTGCACATAGCTTTGTATCAATTTGTCTTAACTTAATTATATTATTCCACAATTGTGATTAGATTTAAAAAAAAAAAGCTTTCCATCGTAGATTAATATGAAATACTACAACCTCCATCACGCGCAAAATGGAACTGTTCACAGGACTTCCCGCTTCTCACACACATTTTGCAAAGGCATATGACCTACGTCACTGCTAGGTCTAACCATTGACACTCTTAGTGGCAGAACTTGTTACAGAAAATGTATTTTTAGTGAACACTTTTTTGCACTTGTTACAGAAAATATTTATTTTTAGGCTAGGCGTGCACAGGGCAACTTTAACTGCGCAACTGTTTTCTCGCTCACGTGTAAACAATGAAATAGGTAAGCACCGCGCGCAAAGGCAACTCGGGTTTTTGGAGACTGAAAAGTTTGAGTTTTCTCACAACTTTCCGCAACGCAACTGTTGCTCAAATCTCCGGTGTTACATACCAAACTGACATCTAGCGCGCACAGGCAACCAAACTGTCTCCGGACTCGACTAGGCCCTGCCACTCCCCACATTGTCTCACTCAAGCTAGGGTCGAGGTCAAAGGGTGAACCCAAAACAGCTTTTTCCTTTTCTTCTTTCTAAGTGTAATAACAAGAGTTAGAGCACAGACAACAATGTGTCGTGTAAGTCCATGGCGTCAAATGAGGAAGTCCGTAATGAATGATGATACCCTACTGTTGCCTGGCTGTTGCTTAGCTCTGTGCGCGCGGTGTATAAAATAAATTGCCCTGAGACAGCAACTGTTGCGCAACTAAGATTGCCCTGTGCGCACCTAGCCTCGGTGAGCACTTTTTTGCACTAACGGCAGGTTTTCTAAACGTGTGTTCATAGTGTCGAGATTAGAACAAAGGAGTGAAAGGACTGACTTGCTTTTAAAGCCGATATTGTCTCAGCTCATGGGATGCAAACCTTTAAAAATCTGTAGAAACCACCCATTGGGATTTTGAAATTAGTGTTTATAAAGGAATTTTCTAGAATAAAGCTAACAGGTGTTAACAGCAATTTTGTTCTGTTAAGACATATTACTGATATAAGTCATTGTGCAAAAGCCAGAGAGTCTATGTTGAGGAAATGTTTGATATTAAGTTGCCCAATGAATTTTTACCCACTAGAGAGAGAGAGAGAGAGAGAGAGAGAGAGAGAGAGGGGGGCGGATGCGAAGGTTTTTTCTTTTCTATTTCTTTTCTTTTATTCTATACACATTTCCTTCTTTTTTTTGGGGGGGGGGGTTGATCGTCGTTTCTCTTATTTCAACAAATCACTTCCAGTCGGGAGATCTTTAAGCTCATTTAGTATCACGCTGGACTACGGAGCAGATGGCCCCGGTTCGAATACTAAACTTTGAGTTCTTGAACTTGGGTCCTTTTCTGTAGTTTTCAAGGCTCTCAACCTGTATTGTTCAATGCTATCGGAGACTGGTTAATTTTGAAGGTCTCGCCTCTTAAATAACTTAATAGTGTTGATATTGGCGTTAACCCACTCTAACTTTACTTCAAGTCGTCTCTTCAGTCAACATTATTTTGTCGTTTACTGTTTCAGATTTCTAACAAAACAGGTTTAGCTGGAGACGTAAGAAGTATGGATTCCTATTCATTAAAAATTTCCCCCACGTTCACCCGAAAAATGCAGGCTACTGCAGCAGACCCAGAATCTAGAAGCACCAAAAGGGGGGGGGCAACGTGTTTGATGCTGACACAATCTACCTTAACTTTAAAAAAAATCGTAATGTACTGTTATAGTCTTGGACGAAATTATACAGGACCAATTACACTAAGGCTCGGGTTTTAAAAACTTAAGTTTTTAGTAAGAATGTTACGGTCATATAAATGCTGAAGATTAGAGGTGTTACAAGTGGGTAACAAACACAAACAGTTGGAGAGATAAAGACAATAGATATATATTTGTTAAGAAAGAACGAGCAAACCACAGCACAGTACCCGCCAACAATACATAAAAATTCGAGTCCGTGATCTATTACGTTGTCATTGTGTCTGTCAAATTTATCAGAGTTGCCCATATAAGTCTAGACCAACACTTTTTAGTTTGATGGAAACTGCAGTCAGTTATCCATAATCAGTTCCTTTGATAGGCCAAAAAGCTACATTATGGAAGGCTTAAGTTCAAGTCTCAGTGTGGAATTGTGCTATCGTTGTAAGGCGAGGTTTTGAACTTTTTAGGCCTACCAAAAAAGAGCTCACTACCCTAGTAATGTAATAGCCACAACTTTATTCGAGAAATGGCAGGGGTAGGCAAACTACGGCCTGCAGGTCAAATGCAGCCCATCATAAAGTTTTGGGATTCCCACAGGAACGTCCACCAAACTGGTGATCTTGTTGTGTAGATAGGGTTGTATCCTTTTATTGTAAATAGGATGTTACCATCCACTTGAACAGGCCACGTTTCAGCTGCAGGATTTATCTGTCCCGCTTTGGATTCAGCACAAGACCGAACAATCTGTAATAGATAGAGCCTACTACACTTTGATCTTTGCTAAATTGACTTCTGTAGGTTTCTGTCTGTAGGAATAATGATCTTCGCTGTGTTGAAGGGGAGGTAAACACCGTGGCAATGAACGCCCTCTGAGGTTTGGTTTGACACCGGAAGCACATACATGGCACAGAATCACATTAATAGTTCAGCATCTTAGTAAAAGTGTACTTCAGCTACCCTCAAATTGCCTTTATTGAAGCCAATAAAGTTTTATGTTCCCATCGACACTACAGAAACTATTCAGGAGGCAGGCTGCTTCGACCTTATCTATTAAGGCCAACTCGAGCAGAGAGAGAGAGAGAGAGAGAGAGAGAGAGAGAGAGAGAGAGAGAGAGAGAGAGAGAGAGAGAGAGAGAGAGAGAACCTAACCAGTACACCATAGACGCGAGTTCAACGAAATTTGACTCCCAGCTTCCAACAGAAAGCGTCACATCGACGTAGCGCATAATCCTGCACTTGGACTCGTCCATGCTGAAGAACGTTTTCGACTCACCTTGAACTTCCAGATATTGGTCAAGTTCATGGCTAAGAGCATCACGCTGCAAAACAACTTGGTAAACGTGTATCTTGAAAGGCAGAGGGTAAAAGTAAGCTTGGATCCCCCCCCCCCATACAAGCACCAAATACAGAACTGATTTCGCTTTGTACTTGTACAAGGATCCCGGAGTCACCGTGGCGGTCACAATGGGGCTTCACAGAAACAAGAAACAGGTAACTGTGAAGGTCGATGTGCGCAGCAAAGACATTTTACTTTCAACAGAAGGAGAATCAATCATATTATGTGTAAACAACGAATCAGAAAGAGACACACGTAGCAAACAAAGAGCACATGTGTTGAATCATTAATTTGTTTTACTGAAACTCAAGGCAGTGTTTTCGTCTTGGCTCCTTGGGATGTCTCCAGTTCAACAGAGATAGTGAAATCCTGTTAGTAAGGTTCGCTGAAAAGAAAACGAAAATAATATTTGCTTTTAATTAAGCTTTTAAACTAGTGTAAAGATACCTTAGAAAATATTGTTTGCCAGAAACTACAGGTAACAAAAACATAATAATAATTGAAGATTCACGAGAAACCGAGAGTTGAAAGCAAAAGCTTTGTATAGATTGGTGTTGTGTTATTGGTGGATCATGTAGTGAGAAATTTTCAAGCTTTGTAAGTACACCAAAGAAGACTCTTGAAAATTATAATTGAACAAATTGAATTAAAGTCTGCGTAACCTTGGCGTCGTCTTCTAAAATAAAGCTCTAGTTTGTAAACTGGATAATATGAACGAAGCAGACAAAAATGAAGATAGGGAACTATATCCAGCAGTGCACAGATGATAAAATTCTTGAGATAGGTTTGAAAGTTGGGGTACTCTAAGGATATTCAAGAGTAAGAGTAAACAACGCTACGAAACATAGGCTAAATACTTTTTTTAGGGGGGAGGGGGTGGAAGGTTCAATGACGCCCGAGTTTCTGCAACAATTTAACTCACTCAAACTCGCAGACGAATCCAAGGCGCTCAGAACAATCCACTTGCAGCCAAGCAAATTCTGGCAACGTCTGCATGGCCAAACAATGGCCGTGATTATCTGCGAAGGCAGTGCTTTGACGTAACTTCCAGTTCCGGTAGGTCATGTGTCGTCTTGAGGTCATCCAGACCCAGTCGTTCTCGGACATCATGTCGGACGCTCCTATCCACAGAGCAGATCTGGCTTTGTCCGCTACATAAGACGGAAATATAGATAAAGATGAACAGTAGACTATTAAAATACCCCCCACCCCGAAAAAAAACAAAAAAACAAACTACAACAAGAAGAATAATGCCCTAAACGAACTCAGGATAACTCCATTTGGCCAGCTCATATAATTGGTTTACCCCCCCCCCCCACCCTTACAACCCCCCTCTTCTCTCTCCCCCACCCCACCCCCCCTCTCTCTCTCTCTGTGTGTGTCTCTCTCTCCCACTTTCTTTCTTCCAGTCACTTCTAAGTGTTAGTCGTTCCCTCCTTCCATTGATCACAGTTCAGGTTCAACACACCTGACAGAATGTATGTGTCTATGTATGTGTATGTATGTGTATGTGTATGTGTTTGTGTGTGTGTGTGTGTGTGTGTGTGCGCGCGCGCGCGCGTGTGTGTGTGTGTGCGTGCGCGCGCGTGCGAGTGTGTAAGTGGTGAAGCATCAAACCAGTGTGCTGGCCTTTGAACAATAAAGATTTATCTGATCTTATCTTACCTTATCTTAAGCAGTAAAACACAAGTGCGTGCAGTTATGTGTAATGTTTTGAGCTAACTTTTTTTTACATACGTTCAAAATTAAGAACTCTGTAGAACAAGAAAGATTCCTTCATTGGGTCATTGATCTCCACAAGATGGGCTCCCATTGTCTCGCACAGGATCTGTGAAAAAGTTGGGTACAAAGTACGTTACAAAATATAACATGTTTCATCCTGGTCACCCTGTCCGATTTAAACATTAGATTTAATCGAAGGCACTTTAGCAAAAAAGCGAAAAGGGCATGATAGTAATTGTCAAATACGATCTTGTCATTACAGGCGAGTAAGAATTTGACTCTTTTGTTTACATCTGATACCTAATAATGTACACGTGGGTGTAGGTATAGGTGTGGGTTTTGGTGTGGGTTTTTTGTGAGTGTATGTGCGTGTGCAGTGGCGGCTCATGGTTTATAGAACTGACCGGCGGTCATTCACGTGGACTATTTTTCCCTCCCCCACCCCCTTCCTTCACATCACACACACACACACACACACACACACACACACACACACACACACACACACACACACACACACACACACACACACACGCTCTCTCTCTCTCTCTCTCTCTCTCTCTCTCTCTCTCTCTCTCTCTCTCTCTCCTTATTTTATACTTTCGCCATCCCCACCCCCTCCCCCTCCCCCACTCACACACACACACACACACACACACACACACACACACACACACACACACACACACACACCACAGTAAACATTGTAATAATGTGAAAGAGCTAAAATACGCAGTAGCGTCAAGAAACAATATTATTATGAATAATGTAAGATGGAAGTTACTGCGACTGGCTTAGCAGGCCCGCAGTGGATATAAACATTGCTCAAGAAAACATAAGGAGACACAAACGGACTGATCAAAACGGAAAACGACCTGGCGAGAAAAATGGACAACGATCAAGAAAAAAAAAATAGGGACCTGGAACATTTGCAGCTTGACAAATGAAGAACCTGAGATAGTGGAGTTCATGACCCAGAACAAGATCTCCATCATGGGAATTACAGACATCAGGAAAAAAGGGACAGGCACAAAAGAGATCCACTCTAACTTTGTCCTCATTTGGAGTGGGGTAAGAAAAGAACAAAGAGCTGAACACGGTGTGGGTTTCATCATACACCCTGACAAAGCAAAGGAAATATTGAATACGGACTTCATTTCTCAAAGACTCATCAAAATCAGCATTAGAGAGGGCAAAAAAACCACAAACTACATCCAGGTGTATGCACCGTGTAACGACTCCTACTCAGACGAAGAAAAGGACTCTTTCTTCGAACAACTCTCGGACTTAATTAGCAACATCCCGGACGAGGAAGACCTTTATGTAATGGGAGACTTCAACGGAAGAGTCGGAGAGAGAAGAACACCGTGGACAAAACACCTGGGTCCACACAGTGACCACAGAACACCATGCAATTATAACGGCAACCATGTACTGGAACTGTGTGCAGAGCACGACTTATTCATCACCAACACCTTCTTCCAGCACAGAGCCTCTCAGATCTACACCTGGTACAGATGGAACAACATCATGGTCTCATCACAGATCGACTTCATATTAACGAGAACACGAATGCGGATCACAATCACAGACTCAAGAGCCATCCCCAATGCAGGCCTGGACACAGACCACAGGCCAATCATCACAACGTTGACCACCAAGAAAGAAAGAAAACCAAAAAAACATAAAAGACAGCAAGAGAGACTACATATGCATAAACTCGGAGATGATCAGGTGCAGGCTCAGATCAGAAGCACGTTAAATGAAAAACTAGGCTCTATCAACTCTACAATACTAACCGTAGAGGAAGCTTGGGATACCTTCAAAAAAACTCTCCTGGACACAATGAAAGAAGTCTGTGGTACCAAGAAAACAAGAGGAAAACAGAAAAGCAACAGCCTGGTGGAACGAAGAAGTTAAAGATGCTATCAAGGAAAAAAAGAGACTGTATAATGTATGGGTCAAGTCAAAAAACGAAGAGGACTACATAAAATATAGACTTGCAAGAAGACACAGTGAGAAAGTCGTTATAACATCAAAAGAAAAGTCATGGACCCAGTATGGCGAAAAACTAAGTGAAACCTGCAAGACCTCACCAAGAGAGTTCTACAAGAAGGTAAAGACAATGAGAACGAGAGACAAACCCTATGTACCCACCACTGTCATCAACGATACTAATGGAGAAGCTCTGCACGAAGAGAAAGAAATAATAAAAAGATGGGAAAAATATTTTCAAGAACTACTAAACCCATCAGGAGTACAGGCACTAAACACACAGTGCCCATTCACCGCCAACTACCCTGAGCACTCAGAACCTACCGTCCTGGAGAGTGAAGTGAGAGAAGCACTGAAAACTAGTCCAAAGAACAAGGCAGCTGGAGACGATGGCATCACAACCGAAGCCATCCTTGCATGCGGCGAAACCGGAATACATTGGCTTACAATCATCTTCCAAAAAGCATGGAAAGAAAGAAAAGTGCCAGCAGACTGGCAAAATGCGATAGTGGTGCCAATATGGAAGAAAAAGGGCAGCAAGAAAGACTGCAACACCTATAGAGGCATATCTCTTCTCAGCCATGTGGGGAAAATGTATGCAAAAATCCTAGAGCGACGTACTCGCGCAAAAACCGAACATCTTCTCAGTGACGCCCAATTTGGCTTTAGAAAAGGAAGAGGGTGCACTGATGCAATCTTCGCACTCCGACAACTGTGTGAGAGGGCTTTGGAATACGACAAAGATCTCCACCTAGTATTTGTGGATCAAGAAAAAGCCTTTGATCGAGTAAATAGAAACAAGCTGTGGAAGATCTTAGAGCAGTACGACATCAAGGGACAACTGCTAGACAACATCAGGGCTATCTATGCCAACAGCACAAGCGCTGTCCGAATTACCTGTGGAACATCGGACTGGTTTCCAGTAACATACGGAGTGAGACAGGGCTGCAATCTCTCCCCTCTGCTCTTCGTGATCTACATGGACCAGATAACAAAAGAGGCCAATCCAGACCCAGAGGCACTCAACGAACTCATGTTTGCAGATGACCTGGCAATGATTAACAACAAGACTCAGCTACAGGAGCATATAAACCAACTAAATGCGATCTGCGAAAAATATGACATGAAGATCAGTATAAGCAAGACCGAAGTCATGACAATTAGCAGGAGACCAGGTAAAGTGGATATCAACATCAATGGATCCCAACTAAAACAAAGCAGAGAATTCAAATACTTGGGCAGCATTTTCACAGAAAATGGAAAATTAGATCGAGAGATAGAGACTAGATGCCAGAGAGCCAACGCAGTCAGCTACCAACTGGGCCCTCTCCTGAAACATCCCAATATCCCCATGAGCGCCAAGGCGAAGCTCATCAACGCCATTTTCCTTCCAGCGCTCACATATCAGTGCCAGACATGGACTCTAACAAAAGCCCTAGAGAGGAAACTGGTCACATGCGAGATGAAATGCTTAAGAAGAGCGGTCAACAAAACAAGAAGAGACAAAATTAAAAATGAAGTCATAAGGGACACCGTGGGAGCAACACCAGTCCTACCACACATTGAAAAACAAAAGGTCAAGTGGTTCGGACACCTCACGCGGATGCCCTCAAACCATCCAGCTCTGAGAGCATACAACATTAAATATTCTGGATGGAGAGCCAGAGGAAGACCAAGGCGACGATGGAGTGAATCTGTGGCAGACACCCTTAAAGATCATGGGATGTCCCCCCTACAGGCCACACGACTTGCTGCAGACAGACACCTGTGTCTCCCCCGCGACACCCCAGGGTACAAGCGGAAGAAAAAAGAAAAGAAGAAGGAAGTTACTGAGATTAATAGAAACTCACTTGATCGGCACAGAAAAAGAAACACACTACTTGAGTCTACGCTAGAAAACAAACGGAAAGTGAGAAGCAATAAACCGCTGGTCCTGGCCTCCAGTACAGTACTTTACTCGTACTTTCTACACCCCCACACAAAATATCGACGTGCACTGAACCCGTTAGATATATGTAATAAGAACTGTCCTGTATGATGACAAAAAGTCAATTGCTACTGTACCAGTGACGCTGTCCCAAGCAGATCAAGTCGACAATCAGATGCTATACAAAGCTGGACAAAGCACACACGTTTCCGATCATTATATCATCAAATGTACTTCATCGCACTTCTCAGTTCTCAGAACTGAACACTGAACACTGTGTTGTAACAAAGTGGGGAAGAGTGTCAAATGCTAATTATAGAACTTGGTGTTTAGCTGGGGTGAGGGTTGAAAAGGGGAGGGAAGGGAGGGGGTTTTCGGCCCAGACTCTGACAGCCGAGTGTCTATCGCTCCTCGTTAAAGTTTTCCTTATATATCTTCACTAGACCATTCCTTCTTTCGCCGGCCAGACCCCTAAGAGCCAGGTAAGTTATTAGTGGGGAGAAAACGATGAGTAAATGCCAAACAGGAATTATATGTGGTTAAAAAGTCAATAAACAAAAAAGAGTAGTGCCATGCTGACAATAAATGTTCTGATAGGAGTAAGAGAAAGGCTGAATGATAAATACATGTTGTGCTGATAAAATAATACATGTGTCTGTGCTGCTCAAGACAGTCTCACTCTTAATTTTGTAAGCTACAAAGAGGCCAATCTGGCAATTAATCTTTCTGTGGGCTGACGATGGATTTGTCCAAGAGACTGGCGTCATCGCTAGGCCGAAGCCAAGCCCGCCGTGTGTTTGGCCTCGAGCGTAGTACGAAGTTCCGCGACGTGACGGTTTGACGGGAGACGATTTAAAGTTACAAGCCGGCGCGATAACAAACGTGAAGGAATGAGGTTATGTCGCGACAAAACAGCAGTGAATCCCACTTGTCTATTTGAGCGCCTTCAAATCGGCAAGGTGTTTTTGAATGTTGATACATGTTTGTTCTGATTTACTTAAAACTGAATGAAAATCGTCATCAGCAATAAACCTCTAGTCAACAGTTCAGTTGACAAAAATCTGCTGATTTTAACTGTCCAGTTAACAAACCGCCCCTGTGCGTGTGTATGTGTGTGTGTGTGTGAGTGTGTGTGTGTGTGTGTGTGTGTGTGTGTGTGTGTGTGTGTGTGTGTGTGTGTCTGTCTGTCTGTGTGTGTTTGTGTGTATGTGTGTGCGGACCTGTGACTTCTAAAAGGTTTTATTTCAAGTGTCCTTCCGAACAACTCGAGTTAAGAAATCTCATAACCATAAAACTCTAGGTTCATCTTCTTAAAAGATACGTATTGTATACATAGAAAGGGGCAAAAAAGACCACCTAAATATTTATGGCCACACGATTTTTCCTGTTCCTCACAAACAAAGCTAACAACATGGCCTTCTAGCAGTAGACATACCTTCGCTTCCGGCCAGGTGGTGGCGACATGCAACATCTTGTAGCATTTTTCCTCATAGGCCACGAGACCTCTTGGGCAGTAGTGAGTTGGGTAACCTGGGGGAAGACCAACACATCAAGAACGCGGACACAATAATATTATTATAGTCTTTGATCGAGCTTGGTTAAACATGTGCTAGTCAGAGCCCCGATTAAGATATTCCAAATACATCGCGAAGAGAAAACTGAGAAAAATAGGTAAAAATGCCCACACCCTCAGAGGTGAGACTAGGTCAGTCCCAGAGTGGCTCTGTAGGTCTGACCTGTGGCTCGTATAGCTCTCACCTTGCAAATGAACGTGTATACATTATCGTGTGCCTGAGCAGCGTCGCTGTATGATCTGCCTGTTGTCAGCTAGGCTGCGCGACGCGTCAGACGTGCTATTCAACACTGTTGTAAAACACGTCGGGTATGTGTCGCACGCAGCCTCGCTTCGTGTTTATTTTCGACTGAAATTCTTCACAGATCATCAAAATCAGCAAGAAGTAAGTATTATTAGGTGCTTTACTATTAGCTATTGATGCTAACATCAACACTTGACCCCACAATCCCAAGAAATGCACTTTATCCTACATTAAAATTTCGAATCGAGAGGTTGACCTAGTTTCAACTGTTCGTTTACATTCGTAGGCCTGTGTGCTTCTAGCCTAGCGTGGCTGTGCTGACACGCAGAGGGCGTTCACTCAGACACAGACGCCAACGCACAGTGCGGCTGTGCTGACACGTTGACGGCGCGCGCTTGGCGAAGTACAAGTCAGACCCCTGGGACCGGCCTAATACGTCTCCCAAGGACATAATTTTATTTCATGAGATAGATATTAGATTTATTGTTTCCATCTTGGCTGGAAACTATTGACCTTCATTTTTAGAAATGACCTTTCTGTTTTTTATTAGTTATCAACTCACGATGAGCCACATTCATTTTATAAATTACTCAGTCGACCCGCGGGCTGGACTGAAACTGTTCGCGGACCGATTGTTGCCTGCGGGCCGTAATTTGTCCATGAATGTATGCCTAGATTCTTGCACACTATCTGATCATAAAGTCCCTCCTGTGTAAAATTGGAAGGGCTTCGTTTGTTTGCTCGTATTTAGTTTTCTCACCCCCCCCCCACCACTTTTTGAGGGGTTGGGGGTTGGTGTGGGGTAGGGTGTGCTAATAAGACAATAAGTCCTACTGAAGACAGAGAGATTGTTTTAAGAGTTGGTCCCACACCTGTTGGATTTCTTTTCTTCTGATCGGACTCTCGGTCGACAGATCAGTACGAAAGAGAGCTGGACAGAAGGCACCAGAAGTACGAAAAATGTTGCCGCCCCCGCCCCTTTCCGCAACTCGAATGCACCCCCCAACCCCCCACCCACAAAACAACAAATAAACAACAAAACAAAACAATCCCCCAACCCACTATAACAAAACAAAAACAAAAAAACATTTAAAAAACCGAGGTCGTTGCTATTACATGTTTGAGATCTTTACATACCGTCCGGGTTGGGAGGAGTTCCGTATATGATATACCCACTTCGGAGCCCTACTTTCGAGTGTAAAAATCCCTAATATTGACTTGTACAGTTGGTCAATTGGATTATAAGAACTAATCTATTTTTAACATGTTTACATCCCAAATTTCTCGGACAAACCTTTTCACCTTTAAAAAAGACTTTAAAAATTCTGAGACTCGATCGTGCAACGCGTTCTATATGTCACTATGTCACAAGGTAAGCTGCATTCATGATGATTGAAATTATGACAACTGCTCTAAGTTTTGGTAAGAGTTTTACGGCACTTGCAACACAACAAGGTCATAAAAGTGTCGAACATTAGAGGCGTTACAAGAGAGTACAAACACATAAAGGGAGGAGAGATCAAGACGATAGATGTTTGATAGGAAAGAAGGAGCTCACAAGAGCACCTGCTGACAACTGTTCGAGCCATCACATAATGTGACAAAGATTTGAGGAGAAACGTATTTACTTTTGTCCCGCTGCCTACAATTTAGGCGAACTTTTAATCTTTGTTTCCCCCATAATTTATGGGAGGGTGTAGCAAAGTGATTACCCGAGAAACAGTTTCCCATCTACTAAATAAATAGTATTTTCCCAATTTTCATTGTACACTTGACCTGATTGTTTTTATCAATTCTTCAAAAATTGAAACAGCCCTGTCCCATCTGCTGCTTCGAAGTGCAGTTCTATGTTGAAAAGTAAAATAAATTCAGAAGACAAAATCCTACCTTGCACAGACAAAGCAAAACCCAAAAAGGCGGTAATCCATAGAACAGGCTGCTGGCAAGTCATAGCTGCTGGTTTGTCAGTGATCTTGTAAAAATGTGATCAGAACTGCAAATTAGGTAAAATATTCGGTCAGCAGACTGCTCTGTTTCAAATGTCTCCTTATAATCTCTGCACTCTTGTGTAAGTTTTCCAAGAAGTTTCCCCGTTGATGTTTATATTTTCTGCAGCCTTCTGTTATCCACTTCTCCAGCTTCTGGTTCAGTTTGCCCCTCACATCATATTATGTACATATCACTGGTGGCAAGGTCAAGAAAGGAATGCGTGTCGTCCATATCTTCCGCATGCTCGAGCTGACCAACACGTAGACAGAAAGCTTAGGAGGTCTGTACCTAACGTTTGCTGTTTCACGGATGTGTATGACTTTTCTGAAAGCCAAGACATACCGGGTCAAAACTGTATACTTTGAGTGGTTAAGATTCTTGACAAGGAAGTTGGCAACACGATTACAATTCCAATCTGAGTACCCTGTACAAAGCTGTTTGTAGAGATTGGTATAAAGATCTATACATCTTTTTACAACTCTAGTACCGGTAAGAGTTTTGCGGCATTTACAATGAAATTAGGTCTTATAAGTGCCAAAGATTTGAGGTGTTACTGGAGGGTAATGAACAAAGAGAGGGAGAGGAGAGAAAAGGACGATATATTTTTTATAGGAAAGAAGGAGCAAACGACACAAGAGCATCCACCAACCAGCCACGACCAATACAGCGCCATATCGGGGAGATTTGTTGATGGGTTGGTAGAATAGAAACACTGCGGTTAAAAACCACCGTAAAACTGCGATACATTTAATCGGGTATAGTGCATACAATTATAACATATAAATTTAAAGCCCTGTTCCTCCGTGTGAGTTTATTCAAGAATTCAAGATGTGGGGGCTTCGAAGTCAACGCCAATCAAGGATAGTACCGAGCCAATAAATATGTGGAGGGCCTAGAAAAAAAACTTTCACCCCCCCCCCCCCGGCCAGACTCCAAGACCACCTGGCCAAGGATTCAAACCAGGACCATCTGCTCTGTAATCCAGCATGATAACGAAGCGCACCCCCCCCCCCCTCTCGCTTCCAACCTTTCCTCAAAATTAGAACGAAGCGGACAAGCAGACCAGTGGCAGTGACGCACTTCTGGAGAGCTTTTCCACTAGCTTTTGTTTAAAGGTGAAAGAAAGATTCGTGTATTAGTTCACAGACCCCAGAGATAGATAGGTCAATATATTGTTACATGTACTTAGTTTTCGAGTATTCTAAAATGTCTTTAAAAACGCTTTAAGCTTATCCCCAACAATGTCCTCCCCAAGTCCTACATGACAATGTACATGTATCTCTTTGTATGCCTTTGTGATTGTCCGTTTCTCTTTCTGTCTCTCTTTGTCTGTCCCCCCCCCCTCTCTCTCTCTGTCTGTATGTCTGTCTGTCCCTCTTTCTCCCCCCCCCCCTTCTCGCCTGTGAAATATTGACCGTTTTCACTTTGGTGTCTTTATTTGTCTAAGGCAGCCGATAATAAGCTAACAAGATCAAGCAGACTTAAAAGCAGAAACATAAACAAGAGCTAGGTACTGCCGTTAGGCATACATGCAAGCAGTGGAAAGGCTGACAGATAGATAAACAAACACACCAAGGAACAAACCAACTGGCAGGTAGCAAGGCGCACAGATAGGCAAAGTGAAAATCAACAGAGAATGAACAAACAGAGGAATGGCGGGGGGGGGGGCAACAGATTGATGAATGGTCACACAGACTTTCAAACCATGCAGTTCAGAGAATGTAGAGAGAGCAAAAGGAAAAATAAAAATTTCTGAAGCACTTTACATATAGCAGAGTGAAGTGGACCTGGATAGAATACACACACACACACACAAAGATATATATATATATATATATATATATATATATATATATATATATATAGAGAGAGAGAGAGAGAGAGAGAGAGAGAGAGAGAGGGAAAATGCCTCTAGAGGAGAGGAACTTTTGACCTCAGCTTTATAAATATCACGCCCACACTGCAAAAGCACAAAATCAAAGGTTCTACCCCGCTATGCATTATAATATGAAGTAACTGTTGTAGATACTATGATCTGGCTCTAGACCAGGTACCGGCTGAGTGGTTCGCTGAAATTCTACCTGCAGTTAGAAGTTTTAACGCTTAATGGTGGCTTAAGCACCAAGGATCACTGTCGGCCGAGGCATCTCTACAACAAAGCGGCAAAGTAAACAGATGCTGACTGTGTAACGGGTTCAGAACTGGTGGTTTGTGTGAAGCTTTCAAAACCATGCCTGGGTTGCTGTCGTACGCCCATTTCTGACTGTCAGGTATAAACTTCAAACCAAATTTCGATTTGTTCCACACAAGGATTTATTATTCATGCATTTGAATTTGACACATCGTGATTCGTTGGGGGTGGTTTTGTTAAGTGCCTCTTTTATTATCAAATTAAACGTTTTCCGTGTTCCTTGAGAGGTAAAAAAACCCGATCCCCCCCCCCTTTTTTCTGCTTAACCAATGCTGTCAAAGTGTTGGCATTAAATTCTCTAAGTTGGATTATTTTCCCCCATTGATGCTGTAAAAGGGAAGGTTAAGGAGACATATATCATATTTCTGAATGAGTCAATACAGAGATACAGGACAGCTGGCTTCGCGGGGAAGGGGATTTACAACATTCAAGTAGCCTACAAAACTGTCCTGAGTCTGAAGTCTAAACAACCGAAACGGACACTGTCATTTCTCGCCGTTGCTACAACAAATGCACCAGGTGAAAGAATGCTCTTGTGGTCTAGAGGAACGGTGTTCACCTCTCGTTCAATAGGTCCCGGGTTCGAAACCTGACAGCGACGGAACATTTTCTTTCCTATAATGTTCTCCTGTCCAGCTCTCTAACCACGTCCTGTCGTCTGCTTTCGTCTCCATTTTCTGACGGTCTTAACATCGACAAGAGTATGCCTCGTCCAACACTCGGGCAACATTCAAAATTAATTCATTCCAGACTAAAAATCTTAATGTGTCCGCTCAAATGGCTTAACGCAGTTGCGAGCACAGTAAAACACTTACAAAAAACAACAACAAAAAAGAATATTATTATGCACAAGACTAGCCTCTATTGTTGGCGAACAGGAGTGCCATTGAGCTGTCTAGGTACAAATATTTTTTCCTCGTAAATTTCAAACGACAATTCGTGCCAGTGGCCTTTAAAATTAACGAAACATGACTGCCGGATCTACAAATGTACTGATGATGTTGCTTGTGGATGAAGTAGCGAAGAGGTGTATTTCATTTTCAAGCGCTGATTCAGGACAACTACCACCAGCATGTGGTATAGCAGTCGAGCACCTCGCAGACTCGGACAGACGACACGAATTCAATTCCTGTGAGGGGAGAATATTTTTTTCGAGTATCTCCGCCTTTCTGCGGGGACGTAATGTTTCCCTCTCAGCCTGGGTTGGCCCTGATAGGCAGGACCAAAACCCGCTTCCTAAATAATCTTAAGTCAATTGTGTCGATGGGGGTGTAAAAAAACCCCATCTACATTTTTAAAATAATCATTAAAATTTCGTACTTTGCGAGATCACAATAGTTTAGTTTTTTTTAGTAAGCGTTTTACGGCACTTGCAACACAATAGGGTCATATAAGTGCCGCAGATTAGAGGTGTTACAAGACAGCAACAAACACAAAAAAGAAGGAGGGGAGATAAGGATGACAGATGTTTGATAGGGAAGGAGCAAACCACACCAGAGCACCCACCAACCACCCGCAGATCACAATAAGTATTAGGATTTGTCTTGTCCCTACAGGATGTCGGGTCAAGTAAGTATGGTGATGTAGTTATTAGAAGGTCAGACCCGACATCCCGTGGTACCAAGACAAATCCTAATCAATTCATATTGCAATGTTTTTCAAGCAGCCCTACATTTACTAAAGTTTAGAAGAGAAAAGAGGGATTTACAGACAATTTCCCTCTGTTTGACAGTCTCATTCTACACAGTAAGATCAAAAGCCCGTGTAGAGGTTAGAACTTCGGATGGGGAAGGGGAGACTCCCAACTTGTGCGCACCATCTTTGAAACATGCGCATAGGGCCCACTCTCGTTCATAAAAAGTAATTCATACAACGTAGTCGTATTCATTGTTAGTATCTATCATTTGAGCATGCGGGTAACGTACTAGATCTAAGCTTTATTTTAAATTTCAAAGCGTGGAACGAGTGCTGCACTTAATATGTTTGGCTTTCAACTGAGAGACCCTGGAGTCTTCACCCCACCATGCAGGCAGGTCTTGAGAACTGTAGTATTATACAAAACAGTACCGTTTTGTCGGGTTCCCGTTTGTGAAGAGATAAACTCCATTAAATGGGGTGCAGCTTTATACTATAAGAGACCAAAGCCCACTTTCTGCGAAAAGTAAAAGATCAGCAGCGTTCGAGACCAAGTCTGAAGTTTGAAGACCGTTGTATTCACGAGACGAGGCCAGACCTCTAAAGGAGCATCCGTCTCCGCTATAACAGGACCTTGGAGGAACTATAATAGGAGAGGCCGCGAGTCGCGTAACGTGAAGCCGCTGCAGACGACGGTCGGCCATGTTTGTGAGATCAGCTCAGTTCTCTCAGTTGTAAACTTAGTGTCAACCGAATGGCAGTTTGCGTAGCGTTCGGGTCCGGTGGGCCTCTCATTCAAAGGTCCTGGGTTCGAATCCGAGTAGTGACGGAAAAATTTTGTTCTCTAAACTTCTACTTTCTCTTTCGTCTGCTTTCACCTCCACTTTCTGCCCCTACCTCCTCAGGGCTCCGGACTCTTTCTGCAGCCTTTCTACTGCTACTCCTTGGCTCCTTCTTACCTCTGTCTTTCAGCCACACCCCTGATCTTCTGGTAGGAAAGATCTACCCCTAGCCTTCTCGGACAAGGGCGAAAAAATCTCGGAGGTCGCGTATGCAAATTGCGCAAATTAAAGGTCCCTTGGTGGTCTAAAATTGATAAGAGTAGGCTTCGGTCGCCACCCAGGCAAAATTCAAAATTTCTTACCAAATGTTTTTAAAAATATCAGTCTCTAGCAATGGCACTGAACTTGATGGCGAAGTGCCTTCTGATTTAGCCGTAAATGCATCTCACAGTAAAAACAGAATGAAAAAAAGATTTCAGAAAATTCAGTTTGCCATGATGATAACTGCACGTATGTGCCTAGATCTAGTCTAGCATACTTGTCAATTTGCTCTGCATGTTGCTTACACTGCTGGTTTTGTGTTGTTAAGGTTGACAAAGCATTTGAAAACGTGAAACCTGCATCGGTGCCTTTGTTGACTCCAATGTGTCAAAAGTAAATTCCTTGCTGTTTTTTGAAGTCTCGTCGGAGGTTCGACAGTGCCTTCAAAGAATGTCATTGAAGTGTGTTTGGTGTGTGAATAACATTTTTGATGCCATGTGTCGTCTG